ATTTTATATGCATTTTTTAAACCTGGAAAAAGAATGTCTAATTTATTTCATGAAAATGAAGCTTCAAATGTGAAATATACAAGGTTTCAGCAAATCATGCAATATAGGGTAATAATTATAGCCAAAGAATAGTAGGCACTAAGAATACTCAGACTAAAAGAGAAGTACAAATGTACCACCAGGTGCACAAAAAAGATTCATGATCGGGGAAAAGCAGGCAAGAATAAAGGCCAGAGTTCTCAAGTTATGAAAGTCGTACACAGCGTTCTCAGGACTACAGACAGCATGCCAAACGCTTATGATTTTTCTAATAACCTGTTACTCCCAAAAACTTTCAACCAGTTTTTAAGGTCACGTTTCCCCTCAATGGAGCAATTTTAAAAGAAAGTGAAAAGTAAAAATAGTAAATGCTTTGAAAATGTGTTTTACAGCGAATTTTCCAAAGTACATCTGTCTTTCCCAATACAATCTGGCATCCCTGAATATTTAAACTTATAGATGAACTATGTAAGTCACAATGGAGTCCTCCATTCACCAGATAACTATTTCACTGTTGTATTAGCAGCTTACTCATGTGTTCTTTACATCGCCCCCCTCAGTTAAGGACGGATCCTTGTCTCTATCAGTACCGGACACAGGAGCAAGCACATTAACAGGTGCTCTACAAGCACTTAGTGAATGAATGAGTGATTCAGATAGATCGATTTAATGATAAGATTTATTAGAAAGACCACATAGCTTCATATAAAGAATGTCATCCCCACAGCCAATCCTCATTTCATACTGAGTATCTTGCAGATATTTTATCACTGATCATAGGAGAAAATGACTAAGAACAGTGGCAACAACTTGAAGCTTAACATTATCATCTGAATATACAAAATAGCACTACCATAAGGCATTTCAGGCTGATCAAGGGACACACCATTCAACTCAAAGGGTACAAAACAGATGACCTTTCAGTTCAATCCCAGAAGATTAGACACACACCCCAGCTACTGGTCTACAACTACCATGAATAAGCATCTCATTGTGCGTATCTTTCCCCTTTTGCCCATGTATTTGCTTGGTTAATCTACCAAAGGTAACAAATAACTACTTTCAGCAAAACCCTATTCCTTTTTCCTAGGCCAGAATAAATCCTAACACGTGTGTTTCTCCTGCCATGTCCTATATATTACACGCTTGCTAGCTTTTACTCTATTCCTGATATCTTCCATATATGAAGAGGAAACTGAAAGATAAAGCAGAAAAATTTGTAGTTAGGGGAAACAGGAAGGCATTAAAAAAAATTTAAAGATCTGGAATGAGCCTGATTAGCATCAGAGTAGACACCTGGTGGGAGCCCCAGGCATTTAATAGAAGAACCTGATAAAGAAGGTTCTTTAGAGATAGATGTTTTGACATCTTCTGGTGTAAAAAGATACAGGTTGTCTTAGAGAAGACAACCATTAAAACAAAAGGGAGGATGGAAAATGGAATGACTCCCTTTCACTATATATATATAATATGAAATATTCACTTCTGGGTAAACTAGAAAATAAAATGCATCTATTTTGGAGCAATATTATAGTATGGAAGCTGAGAGGTAATTATCCTTCAGATATATTTTTCTGTCGGACTAAATAATGTGTTTTTTCATCTTCTCTAAAAGCAGTGTCATAAACCTTCAAAGTTTCCATGGCAGGTATATGTTGAGACTATATTTAGAAAAATCAAGTCCCATAATGTTCTAAACAGAGATGGATACAAGAGAAAAAAGAAAATGTAACCATAGAACAAAATAAGGTATTTAAATATAAATTTTTATTTATTTGTTTTTGAGACAGAGTCTTACTCTGTCTCCCAGGCTCGAGTGCAATAGTGTGACCTCGGCTCACTGCAACTTCCCGCCTCCCAAGTTCAAGCAATTCTCCTGCCTCAGCATCCCAGAAGCTGGGACTACAGGTGCCTGTCACCACACCTGACTAATTTTTGTATTCTTAGTATAGGCGAGGTTTTTGCATGCTGGCCAAGCTGGTCTCAAACTCCTGACCTCAAATGATCCACCCACCTCAGCCTCCCAAAGTGCTGAGATTAAAGGTGTGAGCCACCGCACCTGGCCTAAAAATAAAAATTTTATGTGTGCATATTTATCAACATATTTTACTGTCCTTAAAAAGCCTAATTTTGGAAGAGAAATTATAATGGAAAACATACTGTAACAGCTCAGTAAAAGATGATTAGGGTGGTTAATTGATTCTCCTATTTACTATCTGTCAAAAGACATTATTTGTAGTAGCTGAATTGAGCTGATTTTCTTCATATCTCAGAAATATTTCACCCATGGAACATTAGATAATATTGCCCAGGACTTACACAGTGATAAATACCTGACCAAATTTATAATAAAGAAACTTTTCATTCATATCTTTAAAAATAATAAAGTAAAATTATATAAGATAAAGCTTAGGTATTTTCTGACTGAGAATTTTAATGGATAAAATCGTGTAACACTAGATCTTTCCTATGTGCTCAAATATTGAAAGTTTATCTTCTGTCTCCAGGATGTGTTTCAAACTGAATTTAATCGGTAAATTGTTTAAACTATGTGCATAACACAATACTTATTTGAAAACTGATCTGAGTGAATGATGAACATATAACATTTGAGATAAAGAACAACATACGAATTTTAAGTATTAAGAATAAATTGAAATACTTAGGATATGCACATTTCCCAAGTATACTTAGGATATACATACTTCCTAAGTATTTCAACTTATTCTTAATACTTAAAATTCACATGGCACTATAAGCTTTAAAGTATTTCATAAATATTAAGAACTTAAAGCTTACTGCATTTCTGCTTCCACCTCAAATCTCTGTATACTGCATTAAGTCATATTCCTAGGAGACAAAGAACCCACCTTCTGTAACTTGAAATTAACACTAGAAATGTTTCCAGCAAAGAAAACAAAAAGAATTATCTGAGTGAAAGAATTCAATGAAGAACCCTGTATAAACAGTGCTTCCCTCCAAACTGTGCATTATATTCTTTATGAACAAGAAATAAAATGGACATGGACCATCAGAGAAGAGAATTGTGTAGAGCAGCGCTTTTCAAACAAATTACTTCGTTTAAAACAAACACAATCACTAAAAATGCAGATTCTAACTCAGTAGATCTGAAAGAGGGGCTTTTCTGCACTTCCAGCAAGCTTCCAGGTGGTGCTGATGCCTCTTGTCCATGAAACATACTTTGGGCAGAAAGGGAGTAGAATACATACATCTTATTTGGAGGTGTGAAAGCCTAGTGCCAAAGGACCACCAGTTAGGTTTATCGGCTTGCTACAGCAAAAGGACAATGCATACTCTAGGGAACGGGGTACTTCTGAAAAAGGGAGTTAAAATGAACTTGCTATAAAGTTTGTGTTTTGTGCTGGATGATATGGGAGAGGGTAAAGAAAACAGAAGTTCCAAATTCAATGTTGTCAGGAACCAAAGATTGTTGGCAGACTAAACATTTTAACAATTTTTATCAAGGGAGCAGAAAGAGCAAAGAGGGGCTAGAGTTGATTTGAAAAAAAAAAGAAAGCAAGCAATTGTCAGCCAGGTGCAGTGGCTCATGCCTATAATCCCAGTACTTCTGGGATGCTGTGGCAGGAAGATTGTTTGAGGCCAGATGTTCAAGACTATCCTGGCCAACATAGTGAGATTTCACCTCAGTCATTTTGTAATTATTAAAAAAAAAAAAAAAAAAAGAAAGAAAGGAAGAAATTGTCAGTCACTCATGTTACTGAGGAGTCCATATAAGAACTAAGACTGACTGGGAGTGGTGGCTCATGCTTGTAATCCCAGTACTTTGGGAGGCCCAGGCAGGCAGATCACGAGGTCAGGAGTTCAAGACCAGCCTGGCTAACATGGTAAAACCCCACCTCTGTTAAAAATACAAAAAATTAGCTGAGTATGGAGGCACCCACCTGTAATCCCAGCTACTCAGGAGGCTGAGGCAGAAAAATTGCTCAAACCCAAGAGGTGGAAGTTGCAGTGAGCCGAGATCAAGTCACTGCATTCCAGCCTGGGTGACAGAGAGACTCCGTAACAAAAAAACAAAAACCAGAGTCACCTAAGAACAGACTCTGTTTTACTTCTTACTCTTTATGAGCAATATGACAATGAGAGAAAGAGAGAAACTGACTACATTATTACACAGTTCACCCCTCCCCGTGTATGATGTGAATACTGTGTTATACAGTCCTATGTGATACAGTGTTATACTTTTTGATATAGAGAAGACAAAGTTTTTTGTGCACAGAATATGAAAGAGGGACTACACAATAAGCAAGAGTCTTTGAGGAATAGACCAGTACATTAATATCCTTTGGGGAACTACCTATGTTATATGTCTCTCACAAAAAACCGAGAAGAAAAGCAGATGGAGAATACAGCAAGCAGACTGTCTTGCACATGGGTAAAAAGCAGTGCTCAGAAATACTATTAAGAAACAATATTACCATTTAGAAGCTTCCTGTAAATGGAAAACTGGATAAATATCTCTTCTAATCACTACATGAGGCAACATACTCAGCTTATTGTATATAGTATGGGCTTTAGACATGGAGGGAAAATCTTGGCTTCATACTTAATATGATAGGGCTAAGGACAACTCAGTTAACTTTTCTAGCTTGAGACTTCTTATTTATAGCATGAGGACAATACTGTTAACTTTGTTTTAAGGAGTAAATAAAATATGCACAACATTTCATGTATTAAGTACCTCACAGTTGGCCCTCAATAGCATTTAAAGTTAACATATTACCAAACCAGATTCAAAATGCCAGTTTAACATTTATTCATTCCACAGATATTTGTTACCATGTGCCAAGCACTGTGTTTAGAAAAAAATGTAGTATTTTAAAAGCACCTGGTTTTCTGGAGTTTACAATCCAGCATAAAGACAATCAATCTAACAATAAAAAGCACAGGATGTTACCAGAACACAGAGCAGAGAGACCTACAGCAAAGCAGCAGTGTGAAGCAGGGAAGGCTCCTTGGAGGAAGAAAACCTGAAAAAAAGTAAAGAGTTCTGAAGGACTTCTAGTTACAGCTATGTGGAGAAGTCAGTAATTCATTGCTATAAAAATCAACTATAAAACTGGAAAAAATGTATTAAAAATAACATTTCAGAGCATGAAAACAGACTAAAGCAGACAACAAATTAAAAAGCACTCATTCTTGAAAACCAGCTAGAGGTTTAGGTAAAAACAGCATAAGTCTCTAGGGCACCTCACCTCAGGCTACTTCTCTCCTACACTCAGCTGCAGTGGTGAAAACTATAGGTTGACAGACTTGGGGCCGTCTGTAAAAGCCAATATCTTTGCTACCAGAAGGGGCAGATCTGACGTGGGATGGTGGCAAAACTCCAGGTCTTTACCAGCTAAAGTAGCAAATGTAGTGGGAGACAAAAAGGGAAAAACCGTACCTCTGTTCCCTGAGGCTACAGCTGGGCAAGTGGCAGGAGGATCCCTTCAGCCCAGGAGTTCACTGCCGCAGTGAGCTATGATAAACCACTGCACTCCAGCCCGGGTGACAGAGCAAGAGTCTGTCTCAAAAAAAAAACCAGTAACTAAACTGCATAAGAAAGAATACTGGAAATTGTTGATATGTAGGTAAATATAAAAGCCTATATATCATATACTGTATTTTTAATTTCTTTAAAAATCCTAAAATTGGCTTTAAGTAAAAATCATTATTCAGTGCATAATATGTATATACACGGATGGACAGTACATGACAAAAATAGCACAATGTGGGGTGGGGGATACATGAAGCTATATGGGAAACAAAGTTACCATACTTCACTAGATTAAGTAACTATTAAATAACTGTAAAACTTTCAGATTATGATATGTTCCAGATTCATCCTGTAATCCTTAATGCTATCCAAAAGAAATGTGAGAACCACAAATAAGTCATATATGTAATTTTTAATTTTCTAGTAATATTTTAAAGGTTTTTTAAAACATGAAACTTTATTAAGTAGGAATGCAGTAGGAAAAAAACATGAAACTTTAATAACATATTTTATTTAATCCAATACAACCAAAGTATGACAGAATATAATCAATACAAAAATCATAAATGTTTTACATTCACTATTAAGTCATTGAAATCTGATTTGTATTTCACTTTAGCACACATAAATTCAGAGTAGCCATATTTCAAGTGCACAATGGCCACATGTAGCTAATGGCTACAGCACTAGAGCAACCACTAAAGAAAAGATGACTTAAAAAAAAAAAAATCAACACATGAATTAAAATGGTACACTTCAAAAACATTTAACACAAATGTAATAGAAGAAAAGAAGAAGACAAAAAAGACATGAAATCTATAGAAAACAAAAAATCAAAATGGCACGCATAAATCCAACCATATCAAAAATTATATTAAACATTAATGTACCAAACATTCACAGCAAAAGGAAGAGAACATCAGATTGGAGTTTTGAAGGCAAGATTCAGCTGAGTATGATGGCTCATGCCTATAATTACAAAACTTTGGGAGGTCAAAGTGGGAAAATTACTTGAGGCCAGGACTTCAAAACCGGCCTGGGCAACTAAGTGAGACTCTATCTCTGACACACACACACACACACACACACACACACACAGTGGTATGCAAGTGTAGTCCTAGCTACATGGGAGGCTAAAGTAGGAGAACTGCTTGAGCCCAGGAGATAAAGGCTACACTGAGCTTTGATTGCACCACTGCACTCCAGCCTGAGAAACAAAGCAAGACCTTATCTCAAAAGAAATAAAGAAAGAGAGAGGGAGGTAGGGAAAGAGACAGGAGTGGAAAGGAAAAGAAAAGAGAACAAAAAATGCAAGAATCAGCTGTATTCTGTCTGTATGAGATATACTCTAGATTCAGAGATACAAACAAGTTCAAATCAAAACAAACTGGTAACCTTAAGAATGCTGCGGTTACTATATTAATATCAAACAAATAAGACTTTAAGACACAAATATTACTGGAGACGAGGGACATTTGATAATGAAAAGTAACACATTTTGTAATGAAAAGTTACATACATAAAAAAGGGAGAAAAAAAATGTTCTAAGCATTAAAAGTCAAGAAGCAGGGGAGGGATAGCTGGGTGGGGAGGGATAATGAGGGAAGAAATACCAGATATAGGTGATGGGGGGGATGAAGGCAGCAAAGCACCTTGCCATGTATGTACCTATGCAACAATCCTGTATGATCTGCACATGTACCACAGAACCTAAATTATAATTAAAAAAAATAAAAGTCAAGAAGCAAGAGAAGTGCTTTCCTATTTGGTACTCCTCTCTCTCCAGCTGTTCATATCTTATTCCCAACTCCTAACAGCACTACCCATGGAGCAGTTCTACAATTCTCAACATTCAATGTCTTTAAATTCCTATGTATTTGAACATACCCTTGCACTACCCGTAACACTGACATCAATATTTGCATCAGAAACTCCCACTCATCCTTCAAGTTTCAGCTCATCAACAAACCCTTCTCTGAATGCTTTACCAAATCTTGCAAATACCTACATTAAAGCACTCATTGCTCTCCAACCATCATTTTGGTATTGAATTTCCCTCCAGACTTTCATTCTTTTTGTTTTCCAGCTTGCAGTAACAGGTTCTATCACAAAACATGATACATAACACGCGTTCAGTAAATGCTTGCTAAATGAAGGATAAATGAACAAATGAACAATTGAACACGTGTAGGAAGGAACAAGGTTGGTGAAAATAGGGGTTGAAGATTTTTTTCACAACTCACATCAGAGGGATTAAAATGGAGTGACCAGGAAGCATTAAACACATGAAAGAATTACTTTAAGCAATAATAACAATAATAATAACCAACATTAGAGGAGTATTTACTATGTGTCAGGTACTGTGCTAAGTATTTTATATACATTAATTCTTTCAATCCTCGTAATAACTCCATTATGAAGGGACTAGTTTTAAGGAATTTTTTAGACACAAGGTCTCACTCTTTTGCCCAGGCTGGAGTGCAGTGGCTCACTGCAGTCTCAATCTCCAGGGTTTAAGCAATCCTCCCAGCTTCACCTCCCAAGTAGCTGGGACTACAACACGCCACCACATCCAGCTAATTTTTAAATTTTCTGTAGAGATGTGGTCTCACTTTGTTGCCCAGGCTGGCCTTAAACTTCAGGCCTCAAGTCATCCTTCCACCTCCACCTTCAAAAGCGCTGGGATTCCATATATGAGCCACCAGGCCTGGCCTTGAAGATACTAGTTTTCAGAGATGGGTCAACAGCAAAAAAAAAAAAAAAAAGTCAATTAGAATAAATCACTAAAAGAAGACACATTAATAGTCAATAAGCATATAAAAAGATATTCAACATCATTAATCATTATGGAAATACAAATCAAAACCACATAGGTATGCCACTTCAAACACACTAGCAGACTATCCTTACAAAAAAACAGAGAATAACAAGTGTTGGCAAAAATGAGAAGGAAAAAACCTTCATACTTGCTGGTGGGAATGTAAAATGGTATATCACTTAGGAAACAATTGGGGAGTCTCTAAAAACATTAAATACTAATTATATAGTCCATATAATGAAAACAAGTTCTCTTTTAGGAAGAAGGAAATGTTCTAAAATAGGTGGCTAAACAACTCTGAGACTATGTTAAAAAAATATGAAACTATACAATTTAAATGAGTGAAGTATATGAGATGTGAATTATATCTCAATGAAATTCTTTTTTAAACAAACTAACTTTAAAAGTTTTTAAACTTAACCATTATGATACAGTTACTCAGTGAAAGAACCAAAATTTGAACCTAGGCAGCCTGATCCTGTGCTCAGAATTCCTACATATATTATAATATTACTAAGAGAAGCACCATAATTAGCTCATTTTAGAAAAGGACTTCATCTAATTATCTTAACCAAAGCACTTAGTATACTGATGTAAGATTTTTCAAAAAGTTAAACAGCATGAGAAATTTATAATACCAGATAAAATTCTAGGCTGGGCATAGAATTGGCTAGTGGCTCATAACTATAATCTCGGTACTTTGGGAGGCCAAAGTAGGAGGATTCTTTGAGCCCAGGAGTTAAGGACCAGCCTGAGCAACATAGCATGACGCCCATCTCTAAAAAAATAAAATAAAATTTTGTTTTAATTAGCCACGCATGGTGGCAGGCACCTGTCTTCCCAGCTATAGGAGGCTGAAGTAGGAGGACTGCTTAAGCTGCAGTATGCTGAGATCTCACTACTGCACTCCAGCCTGCGCAAGAGAGTAAAATCCTGCCTTTAGAAAAAAATCTAAAAACAACTGTTTTACTTCTAATGCTGAGCTACTTTCTATGCTCTGGTGACATCTACGGTTAAAACTGAAAACTAGCATTAATGGCTAGAAAGAAGCAAAGGATTTTTCCACATGGATTCCATCTTTCTTAGCTTTGATTTTATTTCATGGAAACAGAAGGTAAGGAAAATCTAATCAGTTAAATTATTCTGGTGTCATATCCTAATAAATAACTGTTACCCTTATGTCCTTCAAGGAAGGAATGATACCAGTAGTACAATGCTGTATGTTTTTTGATTGCTCTTATCAGTAAATACCTAAAATATTAGGCAAACTAACTCACATATAGCACAGGTATGTAACATATATAACTGATAAAACCCAAGATCTCTAACACATTTGAATGTAAATATTAATTTCCTTTAAGAACAGAATCCAAACAGCTGTTTCTGGCCAATACACACTGTGAGAGACCTCCTATGTACCGCCTTGCCATAATGAAAGGAAGTTTAACCCCACAATATACAATCCTCACTGCACAGACAAGATCCTGATGTCAGAACACCAAAACTGAGGGGCTTACAAGGTAAACAAACAGTAGTAACCTATGGCAGATACCAACCTTTGAATCCAGCTTTGGATTTCACCAGAACTCAGGCTTTTGAGAGAGAAATGAGAATATTCCAAAACAAGAAATCACCAATGTCAGGTTCTCAAGAGTAAGTCCTATTGTTGTAAAGAGACTGAACAATGAACATAGCAGCAATCAACTCCCAAGAGAGGCCATTCATTCGCTTGTTGGGTAGAACCTCCTGGGACAACCAGTCAACACCAAGAAAGCAATTCCTGCTCCCTGCATTTTAAAACAGAAGGCTACATTTTTACCACTATTCCCAAGCAACCAATCCAGAACCAAATAGCATGGATATTTTGGAATGAGGAAAGCTCTAAATATATTAATAATCAAATCCATGAATATAGCCAAAGTCCAAATGTAGAAATATATCTTATCATTTTGGTCCATCCTTTAAATGTTTCAACGCTGTCTGAATAGCAATCTCAATGCTGACATCACTCATCCAGTCCAAATGCAAACGTTTTGTTTTTCTCTATTTCCCTTTAGCCTGAGACAAATCGATTCTTTTCAAAGAGTCATTTGAAACATCCTCAGGGGTTCTCTTAGAGTAGACAAGGCAAAATCCCTGGCTCTCATGTGCCTCTGACAAGTTCCACCATTTTCACAAGTAGCTAATGTGCACTACTACTGCATGTGGACCACCACTGTTAGGGAAGAGGAACCCAATCACTGCCTCTATGTTCTGCCACCACCTGAATAATAAGAACAAGAAAATCACATGGCAAGAGCCTGCAGACATCAAGACACCTATGTTAGGCACCTAAGAGGATAGAGTGGCTTTTAAAACCTGATTTTACAATTATAAGGTTAAATATCTGAGGTTGTCTACAAGGAAAAAGAACAATGTTTGGAGAAAAAGCATGGTCAAGATCCTTTATGAGTGTGAGGGTTACTATATGTCATCATGTAAGGGGCCTTGGAAACACACTCTAAATTATAGGAGAGGCTAGAAAAATACTATTTACTTTAATATTGAGATGAAAGTATGAGTTACTCACACATAAATGATAGAAATAACTGAGCTTTTGCAAATTGAGCTTTATACTTACATCAATATCCTACTGGTACACATCTCCATTTTACTTGATCATACTGTTTGGGAATTTTAGTGTTAGCTTCTCAGCCAGCTAATTATTCATTATTCAAAGTATTTTTGCTCCCAATGGCTCACTTACTAATTATACATTGAACCACAAAGCTCTTGAAGTTTCTACTCCCACCTTAGCATCCTATTTGGATCATCAGACAGCTTCCGTATCGGAACTGGATACACATCATCAACCCACAGAACTAATTCAGGATAACTTTCATATAACCAAAGAACAAACTATTATGCAGAATCCGTTTATTTTAATCTAAGACAACTAGTACTTTAATATGGTTTGGCTCTTTGTCCGCACCCAAATTTCAAGTTGAATTATAATCCCCAGTGTTGAAGGAGAGGCCTGAATCATGGGGTACACTTCCCCCTTGCTGTCCCTGTGATAGTGAGTTGCCATGAGATCTGGCTGTCTGCCTGCCAGCCATATGGACATGTGCTTACTTTCCTTTTGTCTTTCACTATGATTATACATTTTGCGAGGAAGAAGGGTGCATGGCCTGCAGAACCATCAGCCAATGAAATCTTTCTTTTATAGATTACCCAGTCTCTAGTGTGTCTTTATAGCAGTGTGAAAACTAATACACTCAACAAGTAGAAAAGCTATGGCTTAACCACAGCAACAATATTTCCTTACCAAGTGTGGTTGAAGACACTAAAGGAGTGTGTCGCCATGATCTAAAATGTCGAGAAATTAGGAATCCTTATAATGGATATTCTCTTGGGAAAACTCTACAATTTATTTGCCTGTTCATGGACCACTACTGGTCTGTGGCCTGTTAGAAACCTGGCCACACAACAGGAGGTGAGTAGCAGGCAAGCAAGAATTACCACCTGAGCTCCACCTCCTGTCAGATCAGCAGCAGCATTCGATTGTCATAGCAGCACAAACACTACTATGAACTGTGCACGCGAGGGATCTAGGATGTGCGTGTGAGGGATCTAGGATGCGCATGTGAGGGATCTAGGATGCGCATGTGAGGGATCTAGGATGCGCATGTGAGGGATCTAGGATGCGCATGCGAAGGGTCTAGGATGTGCGTGTGAGGGGTCTAGGACGCGTGTGCGAAGGGTCTAGGATGTGCGTGTAAGGGGTCTAGGACGCGTGTGCAAAGGGTCTAGGATGTGCGTGTAAGGGGTCTAGGACGCGTGTGCGAAGGGTCTAGGATGTGCGTGTAAGGGGTCTAGGACGCGTGTGCGAAGGGTCTAGGATGTGCGTGTAAGGGGTCTAGGACGCGTGTGCGAAGGGTCTAGGATGTGCGTGTAAGGGGTCTAGGATGCGTGTGCGAAGGGTCTAGGATGTGCGTGTAAGGGGTCTAGGACGCGTGTGCGAAGGGTCTAGGATGTGCGTGTAAGGGGTCTAGGACGCGTGTGCGAAGGGTCTAGGATGTGCGTGCAAGGGGTCTAGGACACTTGTGTGAAGGGTCTAGGATGTGCGTGCGAGGGATCTAGCATGCACACTCCTAAAAATAAATGTAATATGCTTGAATCATCCCAAAGCCATCCCCTCTGCCCACCGAACTGTGGTAAAATGATCTTCCAAGAAACTGGTTCCTGGTGCCAAAAAGGTTGGGACTGCTGGTACATCATATATAGCTCTGTGACCTTAACTATTTCAGATGATACCTTTCATGCTCTGGGTTGAAAAACCACCTCTGAAGATAGGAGCTATTCTAACACAGCTATCCTAAATTCCTTACTTATTCATCATGGAAAAACATAAATGTTTATTATTGCCAGGCCCTCAAGCAGTTAATGGTCTTGAGGAAGGAGACCGCTTTCTCTTAAGCTTCTAAGACCACTTCCCCCTAGCCTTCTACATTGCATTTCTAAAGGAAAAGTTAAGTCAGCCAGATGAGGTCAGTGGAAGGACCAGTTGGCACCACCAGCCAGGTCTAAAGGTTAAGGATCAAACTCCCTACTGCTACTCACAATCCTATCTATAGATCATGGACAAGATATGGAGGAATTTTCCCCAGAAGGCACTGATCTTGCTCAACTGCTCAGACCCCTACCTAGTCACATATCCTACACTCTCACATGTGCACCTCTTAGACTGTAAGCCTTAAAAAGGGCCAGGATTTTCTCTGTCGGGAGCTCAGTTATTGAGGCTGGAGCCAGCCACATCTCCTGGCCGAATAAAACTGCCACTTCCTTCCCATTTCGGTGTTTGAGAGGTTTGTTCGCAGCCGCTCCTGCTTCAGTCTAGCAGGAAAAATATACCTAGACAGATGTAGTCACCCAGTGGGTTCTTCTTGCTTGCTGCACAGATAGAGCTGATTCAGAGACAGCAGTGCTGTGGTGGGGAAAGAGTTTACAAACATAGAGCTAGCCAAGCAAAAGAACAAGAATTTATCACTCAAATCAACCTCCCGAAAACTTGGGACCAGGGCTTTTCAGGGATAGGTGTCAGCAGATGGGAGATAGGGAATTGAGAATGCTGACTGGTTTGGGATGAAATCACAGGGTTGTAGAAAACAGACGTGTGTTGAGTCTGCCTCTGGGGTGGGTATGCAAGACTGACTGAGCCATAAAAAAAAAAAAAGAAAAAACAGAACAACAAAGACTGGTTGACTCCTGAGACATGGGTGTGGGTGGAGTCAGTCAATCACCAGACTACTCAGTTTGATAAACATCTCAAAAGACCAATCTTCTGTTCTACAACAGTGATGTTAAGTGTAGGAGCCATTGGGGAAGTTACAAAACTTGTGATCTCTGGAACAATGGCTGGTGTGGTCTAACCACGCCTACATCTTAGCAGAATTTCAGGATCTTCCCATAATCCCAATCTCATAGGCTTTCATTATTTTGCAAAGGCAGTTTTGGTCCCTGATCAAGGGAGTTAGTTTCAGAGAGGGACTATCATCATCCTTGCTTCAAAGTTAAACTATACACTAAATTCTTCCCATAGTTAGTTTGGCCTATGCCCAGAGATGGGCAAGGACAGCCAGCCTGTGAGGTTAGAAGATGGAGTCAGCCATGCTCAGCTTCTCTGTCATAATCATTGCAAAGGTGATTTCACAGATGAAAATCTATAATAAGGTATGGTAAAATCTACAGTAGAGATAAGTACAACACGCAGTCGTGATGAACTCTACTTAGGAATAGCTTCACAAATGAAATATTTAGAGTGGTTCTAAAAGGGCAAGAGTTAAACCAGGCTGACAAGGAAAAGCATATACAAAGGTAAACAGTACATTCAGGGGACTGTAAGTAATCTAGAACGACTGAAGCACAGAGCACGAAGAGGAGATCCCTGGGGCTGAGGTTAATCAGATAGGCAGGAGCCAAAATAGGAGGAGACTGGAATAGAAAAAATGAGAATAAGGTATGTACAATGAAGGAAGAAAAACAGGTGAGAGACTTCACGGAACCCAAAGAAATAGAGAATTCAAGAACTAGTGCTCAGTCTGACCACAGCTGTATAAAATAGACAGTATCAGGCTGGGCGCGGTGGCTCACGCCTGTAATCCCAGCACTTTGGGAGGCCGAGGCGGGTGGATCACGAGGTCAAGAGATCGAGACCATCCTGGTCAACATGGTGAAACCCCGTCTCTACTAAAAATACAAAAAATTAGCTGGGCATGGTGGCGCGTGCCTATAATCCCAGCTACTCAGGAGGCTGAGGCAGGAGAATTGCCTGAACCCAGGAGACGAAGGTTGCGATGAGCCAAGATAGTGCCATTGCACTCCAGCCTGGGCAACAAGAGCGAAACTCTGTCTCAAAAAAAAAAAAAAAAAGTTTGGGGCAGTGGAACATCATCACAGTATCTTAGACTCATATTTCCTTAGATTAACTAAATGATCATTTTCAAGTCAAAGCTTTTTTTGAAAGCTAAAATAAAATTTCTAAGTAACCAAGGAGAGTCATTCAAGTGGAAAAAGTTGACGATATTAAACTCTAAAAAATAAGGTATGTAGGCCAGGCATGGTCGCTCACACCTATAAATCCCAGCACTTTGGGAGGTCCAGGGGAAGTATCTCTTGAGCCCAGGAGTTCAAGATCAGCCTAAGCAACATAGTAATACCCCATCTCTATTTAAACTTTCTTTTTTTGAGACAGAGTCTCATTCTGTGGTCCAGGCTGGAGTACAGTGGCAAAATCTCGGCTCACTGCAACCTCTGCCTCTCAGATTTAAGATATGCCCTGCCTCAGTCTCCCAAGTAGCTGGATTACAGGAATGTGCCAGTATGCCCAGCTAATTTTTGTATTTTTAGTAGTGACGGGGTTTCACCACGTTGGCCAGGCTCGTCTCAATCTCCTGACCTCATGATCTGCCTGCCTTGACCTCCAAAATGCTAGCATTACAGGTGTGAGCCACTGTGTCCAGCCTTACATTTTTCAAAATAAAAAATCAGGGTATGTAATAATCATATAAAGTTCTAAAACATCCAGTAGCAACGTTTTTAAATCCCAATAATTCAAGTACATTTTAAGATTATTCATTCATAATACATTGTAGTCTAAAATAAGAATAACCTCTCTAAACAGTCATATTACCTTCATCCTTCCTTTTTCCAATATAATGGCAAAAGACAGAGTTGTGATATTTTTACTGTAATCATAGAAATAACAATGTAACATATATAGGATTAGCATATCAAACGTGAGTAAATACGAAAATACAGATGTTTCTTCATCCTGATGAACAAATTATTAAATCTGCCGACTATTTTCCAAATTTATAAAAGGCCATAATAAAATGTGAAGCAGAACTGTTCAAACCAGTTAAAGGGAGTCTGGAACTGCTAAAATGATTAACAATGCCAACTTAAAGATGATCTCATATCTGAGCACGTGATACCTCTGTGATTTCGTGGCACAAATCCCTCTATCCATCAAACTAAAGAGAAGGGTTAGAGAGGTTAATAGAGACAGAGTGTCTGTAACAGACTTCTGCATTCCATTCTCCACTCAATACACTCCAGTCGTCACTGAACTATTTGTTATGTTCTTATGAGTCAGTGCTCCCTTCACAGTCAAGATAGAGGCCAGAAGCCACCGTGTGAAGTAATAAAGCTTACCTTTGCAAATCCTCGTCAAGCTGATCTGACGATCAAGTCTAGGCGAGGCTCCATAAACAACGCAAGTGCAAGCACAACTTTAATTAGAAGCTCAAATGGCACCATGAAACATCTAAATAAAACATGAGCAAGTCCAATAGCCACCTGCAACGAGCAATGCCAATTTCCAGCCTCCGTTCACTATAAAGAGATTCTTCTCTATTCAGCTGCGCACTCACTTGGGCTGTATGACTTTGGCCTAAAATAACAGTCAATAATTTAAAATCATGGAAATAAATTTTAAATCTATACCTAAGTTTTATTATGCATGTAGCAGTCAAAAATGTCATCGACAGAAAAAAAAAATGAAGTTCAATCATTTGCTAGGCTGGCACCTCATTCTACCCTATTTCTCCATTAAGATTCACCATTAAAAACAAACAAAACTCATACGGCAAATTGCTGATAAACCAGGGTCAAGTTACTCTATCTGCGGCTGGTTAAGGGTGATCCCGAACTACGTGGCTTTTTTAGATCCTCCCTGACTAAAGGAAAATTACTAGAAGAGTAAGGACTACACAGAGCTAGTCGCATAAATTACAGTTGACCAGGTGCAGTGGCTCAGCCTGTAATCCCAGCACTTTGGGAGGCTGTGGTAAGAGGACTGCTTTAGGCCAGGAGGTTGAGACCAACCTGAGCAACATAGCAAGGCCCTGTGTCTTTAAAAAAAAAAATTTTTTTTTTTAAATTAGCCAAGCATGATGACACATGCCTGTAGCCCCAAGTACTCGGGAGGCTAGGGCAGGAGGATAGTTTGAGCCCAGGAATTAAATGAGATGGCATTAGTGATGGTTCCACATATCAAGAAATATATCCCAGTTTCCTTCTTTACTCCCTATTTTAAACATATCCTATATTCCTAGTTCCTCTCCTCTAGTCTCTCCTTCTATGAGATACGGATAATTTATTCCCTATTCTTGCTGTTTTCTAACAGTAATACAAGACAAAGGATAATCAATGGTAAGAACATTTAACTAGGAAATAACCCAGAAGTTCACTGACAGAAAAACTGATAAAGTGTGGTCTATGCTATATGATAGAATATCATAAAGTGGTGAAATTAATAACTAATGCTATGTGCAATAATGGATACATGCTGAAAATGTAATGCTGAGGATTTTTAAATTGCAGAAGACTACATTCAGCAATGATATCATTTATAGGGCTCAAAAAATAAAAAACATTTATCTATGTTCAAACACATACATTTGTGATAAGCATATAAAATATATATAAAGCATATAAAACATCTCACATACCCTGATTCAAAGTCAACAGTCTCACAGAAATGTCTTCACATTTGGATGCACACCCGAATTGGAATGTATGCTGCTCTACATACGGGCACACCAAACACAACCAACCTAGAGTTGCTCGAATGCTGTAAATTTTTAAAATAAATAAAGCCAGCCAACATGTTACCCTTCATTTACCTATCTTAAATTCAAATCACGATGATAGCTGTAGGTGGAAATGTTTTGCTTTTCGTTATAAAAGCTTTACACACACCATGGTGGCCACTGCTGTTGAGGTCAGCAGCACCATGGTAACTGTGAAAGGTTAGCACTTTAGTTTTTGTATGTTGAGGCCTTGGCTCAAGATCCCATCTGTGCTGACTTCAGACTGAAAGGAACACATTTCCTTCAGCCTGAAAACTGAAACATATGCTGCACTTAGAGGTTCCTTGAGTCAGTTCAGCTGTACGCACCCAGGATGTGGAGACTGATAACTTGTGAACAAACTAGAAGACTTTACATACGGCACCCACCTGCTAGACAAGGGAAGACATGCCCGTAAGGCCTCTATATCCAAAAAGACAGAAGTAAGTCCCATCATCTACATATATTATGTCTACATGCAGACTCTTGCTCCTGCTAAAAAGCAGAGTGAGGAGTTTGCAGGTTAACAAGACAGAACTGAGTCAATCAACTAAAGCACTTAGAAAGGCCCTGCGAGCACTTGATCTTTGCATCCTCATTACTTGATCTAGGCTTGTGCTCTTCAATACTGACCACATTTGGCTATTTAACAAAAATTCAATAAAACTTAAAATCAACTTCCTCAGTCACACTAGCGACATTTCAAGTGATCAGTAACCACATATGATTACTGGCTGGTTACCACACAGGACAGAGCAAGTATAAAACCCTTCTGTCATTACAGAGAGTGCCTTAGGCAGTTCTGACTTAGATACTTATACGCTTTTTTACTTTAACATTTAAATTGGCACATAATAATTATAAACATTTATGAGGTACAGCATGGTTTTTTTTTGTTTAGACAGGGTCTCACTCTGTAACTCAGACTGAAGTGCAATAGTGCAATCATGGCTCACTGCAACCTCAAACTCCCAGACTCAAGTAATTCTCCCACCTCAGCCTCTCAAGTAGCTGGGACTACAGATGTGCACCACCACGCCTGGCTAATTTTTATTTTTTGTAGAGATAGGGTTTCAACATGTTGTCCAGGCTCGTGTCAAATTCCTGGACTCACGTGATCTGCCCATCTCAGCCTCCCAAAGTTCTGGGATTACAGGCATAAGCCACCACGCCTGGCTATACAGTATGGTATTTTTTTTTTTTTTTTTGAGACGGAGTTTCGCTCTTGTTACCCAGGCTGGAGTGCAATGGCGCGATCTCGGCTCACCACAACCTCCACCTCCTGGGTTCAGGCAATTCTCCTGCCTCAGCCTCCTGAGTAGCTGGGATTACAGGCATGCACCACCATGCCCGGCTAATTTTTTGTATTTTTTAGTAGTGATGGGGTTTCACCATGTTGATCAGGATGGTCTCGATCTCTTGACCTCATGATCCACCCGCCTCGGCCTCCCAAAATGCTGGGATTACAGGCTTGAGCCACTGCAGTACGGTATTTTTACACATATACACAATGTGTAATGATCAAATCAGAGTAAATTAGTATATCCATCACCTCAAACATTTATCATTTATTTGTATTGGTAACACTCAAAATCTGCTCTTCTAGCAATTGGAAAATACACAGTAAGTTGTGGTTAACAGACACTAAACCACTTTTCAAACAAAACCAAAAACTCCACCAGCATACTGAACATAAAAATCCCAGAGTAAACCAGAAAATGTCAAGGATTAGTCACCTAGCACAATTAATCTGAGATTTTTCACAGCTTCGATGGTTGAGGCTTCTCTCAAATGGCATCTTTATTTGAGCATTTCATTGTTTACTGTTGCACAGTGATTAAAAGAATGGACTCTGAAATCAGATGGTTTGAGTTTCAATCTCTCCAACGGTCTGTGAATTATTCTAATTTTCTTATTCTCCTATATGTTAAAATGGGTTTTGTTTTTTTTTTAAATAGAGACAACAGCTCAAACTCCCAGACTCAGGCAATCCGCCTGCACCAGCTTCCCAAAACACTGGAATTACAGGTGTGAGCCATTGCGCCCAGCCAAAATGGGGGTATTAATAGTATCCACCTCACAGATTTGTTTAAAAATTAAAAGATACAATGTTTGTAAATGTATTAGTACCATGCTTTGCATGGAGTAAGAGCTCCATAGTTGTTAGCTATTTACTATTATTATCCTTACCAAAAGGAAGAAGGAAAGCATGAGGCTGAATTTCTGAATTTTGCCCGTTAAAAAATGTTAAAGCTCTGGTAAAGATGCACCATGAGAGAAAATCAACACATATGATCTTTTTCATTTTCAGCCTTGAATTTAATAATTTCCTTTCTCAGCTTTAAAAAGCCTGTCCTTGCCTTTTCATTCTTCTCATAAGTCTCTCTTTGGTGCATCATGTCCATTGTGCTACACGTTAGCCACTATTCAAAGCACATGACATGTACCAGCTTAATAAATTCTCAAAACAATCCTACAAAGTAGATACTCAATAAGCCTATTTATTTTCAAGTGAAAAAACTGAGACACTTAGAGGTTAGGCAACTCATGCAGGATCACATAGCTAGTAAGTGGCAATGTGACTGGATCCAAACGCAGGCAGTCTGGATGGAGAATCTCTGCTCTATTGCAGCCACCATGCAAAACTGCTTAAATATGCAGCAGTCCTCCCTTCAAAGCAAACAAACAAAACCTTTCCCAGGCTATCTACCTGGTAATATTTCTCTAGCTTATTTAATTAGGTTGGTATGACAGGCAAGAGTAGGTCTCCTGGGATTTGGATTGACAGCAGCTCTCACTGTCCTGTCTTCTGACTAAATCCCCTGCGGGATGTGGATGGAATAAAACTGCTAGCAGAAGGTCTGGCATTGCCCCCTGGGAGGTCTGGGAATTTGTGAGGAGAGTTTGGTTTTCACAATAATTGCGGGACACCATCAGGATTCACTCTGAAGGAGACAAAGGTGCTTATATCCAACAGTATCTGTCACAATCACATACAACTTTCAAATGTCCAGTTCAGACATTCAGGTCTAGAACCTAACTGCTGATTACATATAAGAAGCAATTCTTGTATTTTAGTTTATTTAATAGATGCTGAATTTTCTAACATTGCAACCACCAGGTAAAATGAAAGAAGCTGGTACTTTTGTCTTCAAAATCTTACCAGGAGTTGTTCATCATTTCAGACTAGAATGTCATGCTATTTGAATCACAAACACAACACAGCTGTATCGGTCTCCAACTGGAGCTGCACCTTTACAGTAATTCTGTACCATGACTCCTCTTAGTACCTAGGTATTTATATATAACAACATCTTAGTCAGCTGAGGCTGCTAGAACAGAATACCATCAATTGGGTGGCTTACATACAACAAAAGTTTACTTTTCGGCTGGACGTGGTGGCTCATGCCTGTAATCCCAGCACTTTAGGAGGCTGAGGCAGGCTGATTACCCGAGGTCAGGAGTTGGAGATCAGCCTGGCCAACATGGTGAAACCCATCTCTACTAAAAATACAAAAATTGGCCAGGCATGCTGGCAAATGCCTGTAATCCTAGCTACTCGGGAGACTGAGGCAGGAGAATCACTTGAACCTGGGAGGCAGAGGTTGCAGTGAGCCAAGATCATACCACTGCACTCCAGCCTGGGTGACAGAATGTGACTCAGTCTTCTTAAAAAAAAAAAAAATATATATATATATATATATATATATATATGTATTTTCCCACTGTTCTGGAGGCTGGGAAATCCAAAAATCAAGGTGTCTGCAGATTCAGTGTCTGCTGAAGGCAGGTTTACTCATTCACAGATGGTGCCTTCTTGCTGTGTCCTCACATGGCAGAAGGAGAGGTCAGCTTCCTGGGGCCTCTTTTATAAGGGCACTAATCCCATTCATGAGGACTCTGCCTTCCTGATCTAATTACCTCCCTCAAACCCATCTCTTAATATTATCAGCTTGGGGGCTAAGATCACACAGCATATTAATTTTGGAAGGGTGCAAACACTCTGACCATAATAGGTTAACATACACTGTTTTATAATAAGTAACTTTATCATAAAAAGTTATGATATTGCATTATATTGCATTTTGAAATTGTGTACATAAGTAGTTACATTATCTAAGATTTTCTCTTCAGGATAGCATTTGTTTGTGTGTGTGTGTGTGTGTGTGTGTGTGTGTGTGTATGTACGTGCATGTCTCAAAATATCTTTATAAAAAGGGCTTTTGTGCTTAAAAGGGGTGATGTCCCATGCTTGACATCTCTGGGAAAAAAATTAGTCGTCTACAGAATAAACTGTTGCTGTTTCCTATAATTATTTTACTATACAGGAAAATCAGAGTTACATGTCCCTAAGGTGTTAGGGACTAACAGCTTTCCAACTGCCCAGAAGTATTGATAAACAGAGGGAAAAATGAAATTTATGAGTTCTCCATAAAGTTCTGGCCTCTCCCCATCCTAATCCCTATTCTAGAAGCAAGTCTTTATTTATTTTTATTTATTTTTATTTATTTTTTTTGAGATAGAGTCTCGCTCTCTCACCCAGGCCGGAGTACAGTGATGCAATCTCAGCTCACTGAAAACTCTGCCACCCAGGTTCAAGTGATTCTCCTGTCCCAGCCTCCTGAGTAGCTAGGATTATAGGCACCCACCACCATACCTGGCTAATTTTTATATTTTTAGTAGAGATGGGGGTCTCACCATGTTGGCCACACTAGTCTTGAGCTCCTGACCTCAAGTGATCCACCTGGCCTCCCAAAGTGCTGGGATTACAGGTGTAAGCCACTGCGCCCAGCCAAGTCTTTAAAGTATAAAACCTTAAGGTACAGAAGCCACTATCTTCTGTATTCCCCTACCACCTCTCCCTGACTGAGCCAACTAGTTTTGCGTTAACTGCCATTGTCACACATCCCCAAGAACCTACAGAAATGACCTTGGCTTGTTACTATCAAACCATCTCAAACCTCTCCGAATCTTTACCTACTCGGTAAATAAGACGACTTACAATTCCTTGGGTAGTTCCTGTAGCCCCGTCCCAGCTTGAATGGATTGTCCTGATGCGACTACACAAGGACTGCTGTCTCATTTCCCTGACCTGGCATATCTTTAGTTTCTTCCCTCTTGACTTCTAATGAAGACAAAACTGCATTGCCTAAGTATCCTTTAGAAATAAAACCTTAACGTTCTTTAATACTTGATCTCTTTTCAATGTCTTCTATTTATTTCCTGTAATTCTGCTAAAAATAGTTTAGACATTGAAAAAAATCAATTCCAATAAAACTAAATAAAATATATTGAATGACAACTACTTACTGTGTTAAAAAGAATACTACAGTAAATTAAAAGGTTTCCTGAATTTGCAGCATTCTTAAACTGAATTAAAAAGTAGAAAGAAAAGGAGAGAAGATGAATATAGTAGCGGTTTTTAAATTTTGGTATGTATCAGATATTCCTAATTACCTGATAAGGAATGTTGCCCACAATTTATAGGTTGAAGAAATCAAGACAAGAGAGGTTAAACAGTTTGCTCAAGGTCATGTATAGAGACACCTCCACCCTCCGCCTCAACCAGTGCTAGGATTACGACCCATATTTGTCTAACTCTATTACATCATGCTACCACTCTACTGTAATTATAATTAGTGCTAACTACGTACCAAGAACTGTGCTAAGCATCTCATTTAGTCTTTATAATAATCCTATCAGGTAGGTACCAAATTTAGCTTCATTTTACAAATGAGAAAACTGGGAACAGAAAGTTAGGTTGCCCAAAGTCACATAGTAAATAGTCCAATTTACATTCAGATCCAGGTACCTGACTCCAGAACCTATGCCCACAATCATTAGGCTACACTCTCTAATAGACTAAAATTCACTTCAAAAAAATGAGTAAATAGCTAAAGGAAATGATGACAGTTCTATTCCCAACAGAATGATTTGTTTAACAACAGCTGTCCTCGTGAGGGTGCAAGATGTAGTTTGAATATATGTCCCCACCAAATCACATGTTGAATCATAATCCCCAGTGTCGGAGGTAGGGTGTGGAGGAAGGTGTGGGTCATGGGGGAGGATCTCTCATGGCTTAGTGCTATGCTCATGATAAAATATGCTCATTTCAAAGTATGTGACACCTCCCCCTGACACTAGCTCCTGCTTTCTCCATTTGACATGCCAGCTCGGCTTTGCCTTCTACCATGACTGTAAGCTTCCTGAGGCTTCATCAGAAACCAAGCAGATGCCAGGTGCCACGCATGGTTCTTATATAGGCTGCAGAACTGTGACCCAAGTAAACCTCTTATCTTTATAAATTGCCCAGCCTCTGTACTTCTTTATAGCAACACAACAGCCTAACACAATGCACTAGCAAATCAAAGTGGGATTTTTTTTAGTCCCCAAGTGATTAAAACTTTTAAAAAACAAAACCATTAACCTTAGAATTAAATATCTTATTTTGGTGTGCTAATGTAATATTGAACATGAAGTGATTACAAAGTAATTTCCCATAATCTCTATCTGTGGGTGGAAAGAGGGGTGGCATATAATGGCACAACACAGAAATGTATCCTTACATTTGAAAATTCATCTTCTCTTTGGAATACAGGCTCCTCCTACCCCTAGAGCAGTCAGAGAGACATAGTTACCAAATGCAAAACAGAACGCAGTCTTTACAGAGAAACCACCAGGGATGAGAAATCACCCGCTGTTATTTACAAATAAAGCCAGCAGTGAGAAATGTGACAGAGATATTAGAGGAAAGCAAAAGAGCCATTTTTAAATGTTACTTAAAGATTGTCCTTGAAAAATATGAAAGAAAAAACTAAGAATATTATCTGGTAAGTTAACAAAGCCCTGAAGCAAGCATCAGACATCCCAAATCAGCCACATGGGACATAGAGAAGGAGCCACACAGAACCTAAACCACTCTCTTATCTACAAGGTTAAGGTTTGGGTTTGCTACAGGAAGACACCAGAGATTTAGAATACATGGTGTCATGTAAATAGCTCTCACCGTCATTATTTTTAAGGCTTTTATGTATATATTTTAACTGCATACTATTTACGTAAATAAAATATATATTCATATATACACTAATTTGCACACACACATATACAAATATATGTAAAAATAAATGTTCCCCAACTTGTGACATCAGGTGATCCACTTACCTCGGCCTCCCAAAATCCTGGGATTACAGGCGGAAGCCAGGTTTTTGACATTCACACTGGGTAAATCTTGATGAGCAAAACAGTACCCATCATAAAAAGCTGCCTTAATTTAAAGCTATTTCAGCTTAGGTATGTTTCATATTACTGTAATGAAGATCATAGCCAAAAGATGATAATAAAACTAACAAACCCCTGGAACTGTTGACACAGATACACTGTCGATAATTTTTCTACAAAAACTGCCATGTCAGCTTAAGCTATCTTTTCTTCTCTGAACTGTGATAGCATTTACCTTCTCTAGGCTTAGGTCCCACAGATGCAAAGGGAAAGGAAAGTGTTGTGGCCCATCCCCACTTCTAATGTAACAGCAATAATAATAGATAAAATGTATATAGTACCTACAATGTCCCAGACCCTTTTTGGATGCTTTAACTACTTACTCCATTATTTTTCATCCTTACAACAATCCCATTATTAGTCCATTTACTAAGAAGGAAATTGACTCAAAGTTGAGGTAAATAGTCCCAGGTCATAAAGCTATTTCATAGAACTGGATCTAGAACCCTGGCTTCCAGCACTAAAAATTAAATGAATGAATGAATGTTTGCTCACTTTTTCTTTTAAAGATAAAGATCTTTAAAATCTTCAGCCCAGGCTAGACTCAAACTACTGGGCTCAAGTGATCCTCCTGCCAGCCTCCCAAGTAGCCAGGACTACAGGCACACACACACCATCAGGCCCAGCTTTCACCATTTGTTCACCCTTCTGGTTCAGTTTCAGATTTCATTTAGAGAAAAAAAGTTTTGCATCATTTAAAATAAAAACACTGAATGCCACTAGTATATATAGTTTATTTACCTATTAGCCCTCAAACTCGGATATCATTTTTATGGTGTTCTGGGCACACCATTTAATTCTGTGTTACTTAACTTTCTGTACGTTAAGTCTTGAACTGCATACATGTACGTATAAACTCCCACAGATAAGTACACTAGACGGTAAGCTCTTAGAGGACTTTTATTTCTTTGTATTAGGTTGGTGCAAAAGAAACTTCGGGTTTTGCCATTAAAAGCAATTAATATCTCCTATGTTGAATACAGTACAATGCATTCACTAACAAATTTTTTGAGAAATAAACTTGATTTAACTGGTCAAATAAATTTTTATCCTGGGAAAAACAGTTTTAGTTTAAACTATGCTACTACTTACTAATAATAAACAATCCTTAAGAATTTAACAATCCTAGGCCGGGCACAGTGGCTCACACCTTTAATCCCAGCACTTTGGAAGGCCAAGACGGGTGGATCACGAGGTCAAGAGATGGAGACCATCCTGATCAACAAGGTGAAAACCCGTCTCTACCAAAAATACAAAAATTAGCTGGGCATGGTGGCGCATGCCTGTAGTCCCAGCTATTGGGGAGGCTGAGGCAGGAGAATTGCCTGAACCCAGGAGGCGGAGGTTGTGGTGAGCCGAGATCGTGCCA